TGCATGAAATCCTGGGTTTGATTCCTCAGTACCATATAAACAGACAAGGCTGGAAGTGGCACTGTGGCTCAAGTGGTAGAGTGCTAGTCCTAAGCAAAAGAAGCTCAGAGACAGTGCCCAGGCCCTGAGTTCAAGCCCCAAGACGGGCACAAAGAAAAATAAAGAAATTAAGAACTAGATTGTTCAATCAGTTGTTTCAAAATTCTCATCATGATACTATTGAGTTTTACCTTTGCAGATTTGATCTTCTGTAGCTCTCATAGTCAGACCCACAGAGGGGCAGATGACTCCACAAGTTTGTCAGATTTAACTTTGATTCTTAATAAGTTCCAGGTAAGCCCTGCTTAAAAACTATTTCTACTACTGGGGCTGGGAAGGTGGCTCAGTGGTAGAGCGCTTGCCTTGCAAGCCTGAGGCCCTGGGTTCGATTCCTCAGCACCATATAAGCAAAAAAGAAAAAAGCCGGAAAGTGGCGCTGTGGCTCAAGTGGTAGAGTGCTAGCCTTGAGCTGAAGAGCTGAGGGACAGCGCCCAGGCCCAGAGTTCAGGCCCCACAACCAGACCCCCAAACAAAACAAAACAAAACTATTTCTACTGATCTCCTTCAATATTGATCTTCTTGCTTCAGTTGGAAAAAAAAAGGGGGGGCTATTAGCACTAACCCTCATTCCATTTGTCATTCAGTTCCCTCCAATGTAGGATTTGGCCAACTTGGACATGCCATCCCAGCAACAAGTAAAAATGCCAGATGGGCCGGGCGCTGGTGGCTCACACCTGTAATCCTAGCTACTCAGGAGGCTGAGATCTGAGGATCTCGGTTCAAAGCCAGCCTAGGCAGGAAAGTCCGTGAGACTCTTATCTCCAATAAACCACTAGAAAACCAGAAGTGGCGCTGTGGTTCAAGTGGTAGATTGCTCGCCTTGAGCTGAAGAGCACAGGGACAGTGCCCAAGCCGAGTTCAAGCCCCACGACCGACAAAAAAAACAAAACAAAACAAAACAAAAAACAAAAACGCCAGATGGGCCATCCTATTTTTGCTGGACATTATTCTAGCAAGGAGAAGGGGACCCACAGGGACAGAGCTGGTCCTGGTGACAAGGGCCCATCCAGAGGCAGTTGGGAAGAGCTGCTCAGATAAGAGGGGATGGTGACAGATCCTAAATGGAGATAAAAAGAAAATAGTTCAGCCGGGTGCTGGTGGCTCATGCCTGTAATCCTAGCTACTCAGGAGGCTGAGATCTGAGCATCACATTTCAAAGCCAGCCCAGGCAGGAGAGACCGTGAGACTCCTATCTCCAATAAACCACCAGAAAACCGGAAGTGGCGCTGTAGCTCAAGTGGTAGAGCGCTTGCCTTGAGCTGAAGAGCTGAGGGACAATGCCCAGGCCCAGAGTTCAAGCCCCACGACCGACACAAAAAAAAGAAAATAGTTCATAAGCATGCCTATCTAATGTCCATTCCCGTGTATCTTCTAACTGGATAGGAATTTACATTCTTGCCTGTGTTATCTGCTATTTCTATTTATAGTGAGTCTTGGACTCAGGACAATTTGCCTTGGCACCTGCTTGGGTCTCCCATCCGTACTCTGTGGTCCAGAAATCTATAATCTAGACTTCTATATTCTACTTACAGGAAATCTCCAGGCCTCCCACTGGGCCTTTTATCACTCCAATCCATCCCTAGCTTCTTAATCGGTCTACCATGTTCTCCCCTACCCAGTCACCAGAAGCTCTAGACAGTCCCCTCCCGCCCCCAGTTCAGTTATATGGAAATTTCTCCTCCCCTGTAATAGGCCACAACTGGGTTTGTGCTCCAAATGGAACTTTTCTGGCTTGTGACCAGGGTGTGTTCTCCTGTGTCTTTCATATCAACTGGTCCTGCCAGCTTGTCTGCCTCTTGTTTGATCTCAACTCAGTTGCAGGAACATCTCAATAGATGATGGGAATCACCCCAAAGGACATGGTGGTGGGGCACCCTCTCACCATGGTCCCCCTGGCTGGCCTCTCTACTAGGACCAATTATCCTCTTACTCCTCCTTCTTGGACCCTGTTTTTCTCAACATTTTTCAAAAGTTTCTTTTTAACAGGATAACAGCCCTCACTCAGGATACTACCTGGGAGCAAGACAAGGACATCCTATTATAGCAAGCAACTGGAGGCTTCACTTATACCATCCTGCCCTGCCCAGTACAGACCCTGACCCCAGACCCAGTGACTCCTCAGTGCCCCTATTCACATAGGGGCAGGTAGTAGCCAGAAAAGACCACGACATCCCTCAACCTTTTATACCCCGTCAGGGTTTCAAATGATGGGAATTTGCTTCATTCTCCTAACTCTTTGCTGCTCCCATGGCCCAATGACCAACTTCCCCAGGGGCCTCTCCTGGTTCTCAGGAAAACCTCACCCCTAACCCTATCTGAAATCAGGATGATATCCCTACCATAAAACTCCAAATGGAACTGTTTGCACCGTAAATCCCAAACAGGACAGGACAAAGAAATTCCAGAGTGTCACCCTAGAATGTATAAAACCCTAACCCAATCCTGCTTGATGTTACATAGAGTCCTTCTGCAGCCATGATTAAAACCTGTTCTGGTCTGCCGAGGTCTCTGCCTTCTTTCTCTCCTTATGTCCACTAGATTGTTCCTAACAAAGATCCTCACAGACATTTCTGCTCTGGCTGATTTCAAATCACAATCCTTATATCTCAGCTTCCTGGGTTGCTGCGATTATGGGTGTGAGCCTCTGGTACCTGGCTCCAGCTTGTTCACTATTATGGTTTGGATGTGGTTTGAGTGTATCCCAGGGCACTGTTTATTTTTTTTTTTTGGTCAGTCATGGGGCTTAACTCTAGGCCTGGGCACTGTCCCTCAGCTCTTCAGCTCAAGGCGAGCACTCTACCACTTGAGCTACAGTGCCACTTCCGGTTTTCTGAGTGGTTCATTGGAGATAAGAGTCTCACGGCCTTTCCTGCCTGGGCTGGCTTTGAACCTTGATCCTCAGATGTCAGACTCCTGGGTAGCTAGGATTACAGGTGAGAGCCACTGACATCACGGCTGGCTTTGTTTATAGTTAATCCTCATATTTAATAGGCTCACTATGCTATTTCCTGGAGTGGGAACTTATAGTATACTTGTATACTTCCTGTGCCTCACCATCCAATGCCCCATGCCACTGTGGGGCCCTGCCAGCACAGAGGTCACCAGATGCACCTCCTCGACCTTGGACCAGAACCATAAACCAAAATAAATGTCTGTCTCTTTCTCTGTCTTTCTTCATGAAGGGCCTTGTGATTAATCGGCAGGCCCTCTACCACGTGGGCCACTCTTCCAGCCTTTTTCGCTTCCATTATCTTTCAGACAGGGTCTCATTTTCTGCCTAGTCTGGTCTGGATCATGATCCTTCTATGTATGTTCCCTAGGCATCTGGGATGGCAGCAGCACATCGCCATATCCAGCTTTTTATTGGTGGAGACAAGTCATGTGAACTTTTTGCCCAGACTGGCCTTGAACCGAGATTCTCCCAATCCAATCTCAGCTTCCTGAGCAGCTGTATGGCAGGTGTGAACCTGACTCAAAATTTTTCTTTCTACCTGGGTCTGTGGCATGGTGTTATTTACAATAGGAAATGAATTGAGACACTATTACAGACCATGTTTAATAATAAATAAACACGTATATACATAGTACATGTATAATGTATAACAATAAAACGTACTTTGTTGTTAATTAGTAGCTTATAATTCAGATGTTTAATTTTCCTGTAGCTGTCATAAAAAAAGGAAAGACCATGGAGCCAGATGCCCCTTGATTCTGTCCCAATCCATTTTTTTCACTCAGTTGTTAAAAAAAAAAATTACATGCACAAAGCGAAGAAGGCTTTATTTCTCCAAATGTTAATCAGTTCCTGTGTCCACATAGAATACAAAATTGGGCAGAAAGCTGGCTGTGGTAGTTCACGCCTGTAATCCCAGCTACTTGGGAGGCAGAAGCCGGCAGTTTTGATCTGAGGCAGACGAGGCAAAATTGCAAGACCCTGACCTATCTGATGAAAAGGACTGGGGCATACACGACTCAAGCAGCACAGCGACTGACTAGCAAGCCTAAGGTCTAGTTTTCTCTCTCTTTCTTTTATTTTTTTGCCAGTCCTGGGGCTTGAACTCAGGGCCTGGGCACTGTCCTTAAGCTTCTTTTGCTCAAGGCTAGTGCTCTACCCCTTGAGCCACAGCGCCACTTCTGGCTTTTTCTGTTTATGTGGTACTGAGGAATCGAACCTAGGGCTTCATGCATGCTAAGCAAGCACTCTACCGCTAAGCCACATTCCCTGAGTAAGGTCTAGTTCTAAAAGCCCTGTTACTGACCACCTTCTAAGAGCCAGGACACACACTGCATCTCAGCAGACAAAGAAAGGCACCTTTACCATGCCATCTTAGAGATGCAGCAAGTGGGACTCGGATGAGGCTCATGCAACACATCTGTGGCCAAACCATGCAGGGAACAGCAGGGATGCTCAAAGCCCGAAACGGCAATGTTACCTCACATCTGTGGCAGCCTATAAATGACCTCAGCATGACGACACTGCTCAAAGCCATAAGCCGAAGGCTGGGCACTGGTGGCTCACACCTGTAATCCTAGTACTCAGGAGGCTGAGATCTGAGGATCATGGCTCCAAGTCAGTTTGTTCAGGAAAGTCCAGAGACTCTTATCTCCATTTAAGCAGTAAACACACACACACACACACACACACACACACACACACACACACACACACACAACTGGAAGTGGAGCTGTGGCTCAAGTGGGAGAGCACCAGCCTTGAGTGAAAAAGCTAAGGGATAGCACCCAGGCCCCAAGTTCAAGCCCCATTACTGACATGCATCCCTACCCCACCCCAAACAAAACCAAAATCATAAGCTGAGGATGCAGAATACACAATGTGACCTTAAAAGCTCTTCTGCCTCTCCAAATGTGAGCAGCCCACACACGCCCCATCCCATACTTACAATATCTCTGGGCAGGGGAGGTAGTACGGTATACAAGAAACTGGCATCCAGTTCTCAACATACACCCTGGAAAGGAAAAACACCCACTGACTCTGCTTTGCCCAACAGGCTGACACCCAGTTGGCACATATTGGAACCCCCTATAGTGCATAGTGTATGTGTGTGGGAGGGGAGGTCCCTGCCATCCTAGGATCTATTTCTTTAATATGGCACAGTGCCTGCTATGTAGATATCGATTCACCCATTTACTTATTCACTCCTGGGGCATTTATGTTCTTGATGCTGAGCCTTACCTAAATATTGAAAGTAGCGTATAGCCCCAGACCTTTCCAAAGGTGCTGTGTGTGTGTGTGTGTGTGTGTGTGTTATGGGGGGAGGGAGGGAGGGAGAGCTGGAATAGGGATCTTCACAGTTGGAAGGATAGTTTCAGCAGAGGATATTGCAAGTCAAAAGTCAGTATGAGGCAAAATGTGGAAGCCAAAGTTACTCTGGCTGGGGAGGGGAGTGGGAAGCTGATGAGTCAGCTGGGCTTGATGGGGCCTGGAAACTTTCAAGGGAATCCAGGTTTTTGGGGTTGAATACAGAGGGTGGTCAGGGGACAGAGCCCAAGGTGCAGCTTACCACAGGACCCAGAGGCTGAGGCTGGCCGGTAGACATAACCCCAGGACCAGGGCTAGTCTCCAGTGGAACCTTGCTGGGTGCTGTGCCAGAGCCGCCCGAGGAGACCCCTGAGCCTTGTCCAGTCGGGCTTTCCCTGCCAGGGCTGTGGGGCTCTGGGCAGGTCTGCTCCGAGCCAGCCTCTCCCAGGCCCAGATGACTCCTGCAAAGGAAGTTCCTTTACTCCGGAGCAGCGGACTCCCCGCCCCCCGCCCCCCGCCCCCCCACTCTGGCAAGGGCCCCACTTCTCTCCCCTCCAGCTAATCCCAGGCTCAGCCTCGGGACGCTGACAGGCGGCGGTGGCTGGGTCGCTGTCCCTCGGGACGGTCCTCCCGGCCCGGGCTGGTGTCTCACTGCAGGGGCCAGGGGACTGCCGGTCCAGGGAGCCGGACGACACCGGCAGGGCCCCGTGATGCTGCCGGCCCGCGCTCAGGATTCTCCAGGGCAAGTCCTCCCCGCCGGGCCGGGCTGGAGGGGTGCGAGGACGGCGCTCCGGGCCGGCCCGTCACCCAGCTCCCTCCCGGGCGAGCCCGCTCCCTCTTCCCCACGGTGCCCCGGGTCCTTCCACGCCTCCCCCCAGCTTCCCGGCCGCTGGCCGGCCCAGGCCTCGGGCCGTTCCCCCGCGGCCCGACCCCGGCCCGACCCCGGCCCCGGAGCCTGAAGCCGGGGTGCGTACCTGCATTTCCGGCCTCCCGCCGGGGCGGGCTGCGGGCTGCGGGCCGCCCGGGAGCGCGGGCCTGAAGCCGGGGCAGGAGAAGGTCCCAGGGACCGCGGCCCCAGGACGCAGAGGCGGCGGCGGGAGGCGGACGCCCGCATCTCTGCGAGAGGTAGGACGGGTCCTCCCGGCCCCGACGTGACACTCCCCGCAGGACACCCCGGCCCCCCACGTGACACTCCCCGCAGGACCACCCCGGCCCCCATGTGACACTCCCCGCAGGACACCCTGTCCCCCACGTGACACTCCCCGCAGGACACCCCAGCCCCCACGTGACACTCCCCGCAGGACCACCCCAGCCCCCACGTGACACTCCCCGCAGGACCACCCCAGCCCCCACGTGACACTCCCCGCAGGACACCCCGGCCCCCACGTGACACTCCCCGCAGGACCACCCCAGCCCCCACGTGACACTCCCCGCAGGACACCCCGGCCCCCACGTGACACTCCCCGCAGGACCACCCCGGCCCCCACGTGACACTCCCCGCAGGATCACCCCGGCCCCCACGTGACACTCCCCGCAGGACCACCCCTTCCCCCACGTGACACTCCCCGCAGGACCACCCCATCCCCCACGTGACACTCCCCGCAGGATCACCCCAGCCCCCACGTGACACTCCCCGCAGGACCACCCCTTCCCCCACGTGACACTCCCCGCAGGACCACCCCTTCCCCCACGTGACACTCCCCGCAGGACCACCCCATCCCCCACGTGACACTCCCCGCAGGATCACCCCAGCCCCCACGTGACACTCCCCGCAGGACCACCCCAGCCCCACCCCCGCAGGATCACCCCAGCTCCCACGTGACACACCCCGCTGGACCACCCCTTCCCCCCACGTGACACTCCCCGCAGGACACCCCAGCCCCCACGTGACACTCCCCGCAGGACCACCCCTTCCCCCCACGTGACACTCCCCGCAGGACACCCTGTCCCCCACGTGACACTCCCCGCAGGACACCCCAGCCCCCACGTGACACTCCCTGCAGGACCACCCCAGCCCCCACATGACACTCCCCGCAGGATCACCTCGTCCCCCACGTGACATTCCCCGCAGGACCACCCCGGCCCCCACGTGACACTCCCCGCAGGACACCCCGGCCCCCACGTGACACTCCCCGCAGGACCACCCCAGCCCCCACGTGACACTCCCCGCAGGACACCCCGGCCCCCACGTGACACTCCCCGCAGGACCACCCCGGCCCCCATGTGACACTCCCCGCAGGACCACCCCGGCCCCCACGTGACACTCCCCGCAGGATCACCCCAGCCCCCACGTGACACTCCCCGCAGGACCACCCCAGCCCCCACGTGACACTCCCCGCAGGATCACCCCAGCTCCCACGTGACACACCCCGCTGGACCACCCCTTCCCCCCACGTGACACTCCCCGCAGGACACCCCGTCCCCCACGTGACACTCCCTACAGGACACCCCGGCCCCCCACGTGACACTGCCCACAGGACACCCCGGCCCCCCACGTGACACTCCCTACAGGACACCCCGGCCCCCACGTGACACTCTCCTCAGGACCACCCCATCCCCCACATGACACTCCCCGCAGGACCACCCCGTCCCCCACGTGACACTCCCCGCAGGACCACCCCGTCCCCCACGTGACACTCCCCGCAGGACACCCCCAGCCCCCACGTGACACTCCCCCCAGGACCACCCCAGCCCCCACGTGACACTCCCCGCAGGACCACCCCGTCCCACGTGACACTCCCCGCAGGACCACCCCGTCCCCCCACGTGACACTCCCCGCAGGATCACCCCAGCCTCCACGTGACACTCCCTGCAGGACCACCCCAGCCCCCACGTGACACTCCCCGCAGGACACCCCGTCCCCCACGTGACACTCCCCGCAGGACACCCCGGCCCCCACGTGACACTCCCCGCAGGACCACCCCGTCCCCCACGTGACACACCCCGCAGGACACCCCAGCCCCCACGTGACACTCCCCGCAGGACCACCGTCCCCCACGTGACACTCCCCGCAGGATCATCCCATCCCTCAGGTGACACTCCCCGCAGGACCACCCCAGCCCCCACGTGACACTCCCCGCAGGACACCCCGTCCCCCACGTGACACTCCCCGCAGGATCATCCCATCCCTCAGGTGACACTCCCCGCAGGACCACCCCGTCCCACGTGACACTCCCCGCAGGACACCCCGGCCCCCACGTGACACTCCCCGCAGGACACCCCAGGGCAGTGGCCCCGGCCTCCTCTTGCTGCCCTTGCGACCCCGGGGGAGGCGTGGGTCCACCCCAGGGCCCGAGGGCCACCTCTGACATCTCACAAAGGTCAGCCGAGCAGGGGGGGGCCAGGGGGCAGAGAAGGGCGCAAAACGGGGCCCTTGGCCAAAAGAGGGCGCCGGAGTTGTGGCTCGGTTGGCAGAATGGTAGCCAATGAGCGAAAGCAGCGGCAGGTACCGAGTTCGAACCCGGATCTGGGACCTAAGAAAAGAAAATGGGGAGGGTAAATAAGAGCGGGAGGTGGGAGGGGAGAAAGCAGCCAGCCAAAGCTGCATCTCCAGGCGCAGGTGGCTGTCCCTACTCCAGGGGCTGGGCTCTGAGGTGCAGTTTGAAGCTAGCCCTGGAGACCTTATCTCCATTTAACCAGCAAAAAAATGGAAGTGGAGCTGTGGCTCAAGTGGTAGAACACCAGCCTTGAGTGAAAAAACCAAATGGGAGCCAGAGGCTGATTTCAATTCTGGTTCTGTCTGTCTGTCTGTGTCTCTCTGTGTCTGTGTCTGTCTGTCTGTCTGTGTCTCTCTGTGTCTGTGTCTGTCTGTCTGTCTGTGTCTCTCTGTGTCTGTGTCTGTCTGTCTGTCTGTCTCTCTCTCTCTCTCACACACACACACACAGTATCAACCACAATGTATTCAGAGAGGTTCTGAGTTTGCTCAGAGACATAAAGCAGCTTGAAGCCACAAACCCAGGACTGTCTGGAATCTGGCTGTGCCCGGGCACAGCCTCCAGGTGCTTAGGGGTCCCTTGAGGACCACAGGTTCCTGTGTGGCTGGACGTATTTTCTCAGTCTGCGGTCCTGGGGGCCTCTGGAAGGGATTGTTTCTGTTGGCAGGTGCACTCACTGGCTCCCTGGGGCCCGAGGAAACTCCTGAGGCGTGTTCCATACCTGGGTCTGGCCTTGGGGCTGCCGGCATCTCCCTGGTCATTGTTCTTTAACAGAGAGGCAAGCGAGACCCCACACTGCTATCTCTGTGGGCTGGGCGCTGCTCCAGGTCACGCCTGGTCCAGACTGTCCACCCGGCCACAGGGGACATAGAAGAAGAGTCCCCCTACCTCCATGCCACGGCTTAAAAAGTATACCAAGCAGGACCTGGGGCCAGGGGGTGGGAGGAGCATCTGGACTTGTCCTGGTCATCATGCACAACCCTCAGACAACGGGCCCACTTCACTCTGGACCCCATCAGCAACTGTGACCTCACATAAAACTTTCTTCATTTGGCCATCTCAGGTATTTGTTCTAGTAGCAGATGCCTGGCTGACACACCCAGGGGCAACAGATGGGCACCCAGCATCTCTATGTAGCTGGTCCCCTCCTGATCTCCAGCCTTTCATTTGTAAAATGGGCATTGGGGGATTTCCAGCCCTTGATTCCATAGTGAGGCGGTCTCCATCCTTGAAGGACAAAGCCGTGTCCTGCTTCCCCACTGGCAACCCTGGGGAGCTGAGGCTTGGGCTCCTGGAAGGAACGTTTAGGAGACAGGCTAAACTAACCCCTTTGGTACTCACTCCCATCCCAGTCCTTTGCTCCCCAGCATGCACTTGACCTTCACAATCCATCTCCAGCTTCACTCAATTCTAGGATGCCAGAGAATTCCCTAGAGCGTTGCTCTGACATCATGCTCAGAAAAGTCTGCATACACTTGGGTGAGCCCAGGAGCAGGACTCTCAGGCCTTTCCTCCCCAGTGGACAGCAGGAAGTTAAGCGGTCACAAGGCTGTGGTAGAGGGAGCTCAGGAAAGTGCACATGGGTCCTGTGGTTCTCTGTGTGCTCCTCATTTTCCTTAGGGAGAGCCAGCATCATGGGGACAAACAGACGGCTTTACAAAATCTTGGTTGAGACCCAGACATTACCTACTTTTGTCCACCAGAGCCTTGTCCCCTGGAGGTGGATGGTAATGACAAATCACAAGTCTTAGCACGTGTGCCCAGGTGTAGTAAAACGTGTCTTCTGAATCCTAGCCAGAGTACCTCCATCTTGCAGCAAGCACCATTTTGCTTTTCTGCCCGTCAGACTTGTTTAAACAAGCTACCCTTCCCCCAGTCAGGCAGTGTGTGCTGAGACCAGAGGAAGAATCCCAGGAAAGACAAGGGGACAGAGTAAACACATACTTGCACACACGTGTAACTTTGCCAGGGTGTGTTCCCCCATCCAATCTCTTACTTGCTCATGTAGTTACTTCTGCTATTTGAACACCAGGGGGCAGGCTAAGCCCAGGTTTTACTGTAGACTTAGAGCGGAAATAGCTACATGCTCCAGCTCAGGTGTGTCAAGTACAAATTCAAGGCCAGCACCTCAGCACAAGCCCACCTTTCCTTCCCATGGCCTTGCTTGAGATTCCTAGGAGCCTCAGCAAAGGACTGATGCCAGAGCCTTTGTCTGTGGGTTTCCTTAGGAAGGGCTTAGGGGAGACATGACCTATGAACTGGCAAAGTGACGTATCACTCCACATAGACACGCCATATTTATTCAACACTAACTTCCAATTCCTTCTCCCAGCCCGTGGTAGCTTCTCTCTTGTCTATGAAGTTGCCTATTCTAGTTGTTCCTTAAAAGTGGAATTTTAACAATTTCAAGGTCTGTCTACGTTCTAGCATATGTGGAGCTCCATGCTGATGGCTGACTAATATTCCTTTATCAGCTGTTGGCGTGCAATGATACACCATATTCTCTTATAATTATTTTATTGCTACAAAACCAGTGGTAACTTTCTCACTTTCACTGTACATTTACAACTTGAGTCCTTTCTTTGTGGTTTGAGATTCATTTTTGTTATTTTAGAATATTCTAGCACGAGGGTTACAGAATATAATGCTTTGCAAAGAATAGTAAAATCAGTTACATCTATACATTTATGTACTGAAGTATAACGTCAGAAAACGAACAAAATAGAGGAAAGAAATTCGCAAATTCTGACACCTTTAATGTGTTTTGTGTGAATTTAACAGGGCTGGGAATGTGGCTTAGTGGTAAAGTGCTTGCCTAGCATGCATGAAGCCCTGGGTCTGATGGTTGGGAAACCACGCCCCCTCTCAGCCGTGGCTGCAGAGAAGAATTTTTGATTCTCAATGGAAAGCTCAAGAGAGGTGACTGACAGAAAACCCTAGATTGTCCAAGTATATTTTATTTATAAAAACTTAGGACATGTGTTGTGTCAAGATCAAGGAAGGCCCTGGAGACGATCAGCCATCAACACAGGCACCGGGTGGCAGCCTCTTTCACTTTGAACGCTCTCCTCCCGGAAGCTAACAAATCAAAAATGGTGGCCAGACATCCTGGGTCCCTCTAGAGACACGTGTCCAGATCAGGGTCAGCGGGTGTCTGAAGGGCAAGAACCATGCTTTTATCATATGTACTAGGAAACCCATTGGATGCGTTCAGTTTGAGTTATGCCTGGATGCATTTGATGTAGATGGTGTCTTCCATGCGTGGAAGTGGCCAGATAACAATGCCTTCCTTCAATAGAGGCTGCAGAGAGAATGGGTTGTTATGTGAGTTGTGTCACCCACAGGGTTACAGCCCTTCATCCTCATCTGGTTCCCACCTGGGAATGATTATGCCATCGCCTACTATGCAGAAAAGATAGACAAAACTGTCTACGAGATGACGATGCTAGGGCTGGGAAGGTGTCTCAATGGTAGAGCACTTGCCTTGCATGCATGAAGGCCTGGGTTCGATTCCTCAGCACCACATAAACAGAAAAAGCCAGAAGTGGTGCTGTGGTTCAAGTGGTAGAGTGCAAGCTTTGAGCACAGAGAGGCTCAAGTTCAAAGCCCAGACCCTGAGTTCAAGACCTAGGACTGCCCCCCCCACCCCCGAAAAAAAAAGATGATAATGCTCATGGGCGTGTTATGGCCTCTTCTAAGTTTTTTTTAAATTTATTTGCATTTATTTTATGCTAAATTTATTCCTGTGCCATAAGTTTTTGTTTCTTCAGTTTCTTCTGGGATACCTTTTTCTTCTGTGCAATCTCCTCCTCTGGTTTAGGAACAATTTGCTCCTTCTCTGTAAGGATCATCTCAATGTGGCAGGGAGAGCTCATGGATGGGTTAATCCTACCATGGGCTCTGTAAGTTCAGCGGTGCATCTTAGGTGCTTTGTTCACCTGGATGTGTTCGATGACCAGGGAGTCTACATCTAAACCCTTCAGTTCTGCATTACTCTCTGCATTCTTAAGTGTGTGCAGCAGAAATTCAGCACTCTTTTTGGGCCACCGACCCTGTGTCCAGCCCCACTGTTTGGCCTGGGCACACCTGCCAACTCCACCATTGTAACGCCGGAATGGCACACATTGCTTCTTTAACATGACATCTTTCAGATACTTGGTTGCTTTTGGGATATGCATACCCTTGATGGCCTGGGCTGTTTCTTAAAGTGTACACAAAGATTGGAACCTTTTGACTTGCATAATTTTGTGGCGTTTTCTGGGTCTAGAGAGTAGCGAACCATTTTCACAGGTCACCTCCGGCCGCTTACAGGAAGAGCGCCTCTTCTGGGTTTGTGAGCATGGGACATGGGCGCCAGAGACCACAGGCGTGGACAGGTGCATCACCTTCCTGTTTGACTCCCATTAGCTCACACCCAAGGAGCCCCTCCTGGATTCCTGGGCTCTGTGGGTTCTTGGGGCCAAGCGGGTGGGCCATGAATGGCTATGGGCCTCTAGCATTAGACAATTTGACAGGATAGTGGAGGATGAGAGAAGTCAAGAGCAAACATCCATTTCCCACTCGCTTTCCACAAGTCCCCGGATGGGACCTGGAGAACACTGAGCATTAGGGTAGCATACTCAATCCATGCTCAGAGGACACGGGGATACAGAGTCCTCACCAGGATTTGGGGGCAACGTGTTCCCTGCCAATCAGAAGAGTCTGGGATGCAGACTCTGAGACCAGCTCTCCACAGGGAGAGGCGGGGGGTCACACATGAAGCCCTTCCTCTACAGGATGAACATGTTTGCTTGTGGGACAGGGGATGGAAGCTGACGGGCCATTTTGGGAGATGGGGTCCTATTCAGGGGGTC